ATCAGGGGATACCTCGGTCACACATGACTCTGGGGAGATGATGAACCATCTGGGGTTGCATTAGGACTGCAGCATAAACCGCGGTGCATCAAGGTGTCCCAATATCGACAAACATTGCCCATGCCCATGCCCCGTGCAGACTTTTTTGGTATTGTGTCTCAATTTTACCCCCCTCCGCAGCCTAGTGGTAACGGAAGACAGTGGCTCGAGCAGGACATCGTCCCGGACAGACCACCGAACCAATCCACATCGAGCCCCATGTGCAGCACGCCTGTTTCCTGCTATTTCCAGTGTCACTGCGCATATTCCTAGCTTGCTTTGGCTTGTTCGCACTCCTGTTCTCCAGACTCCGCAGCTGCTTCTATAGGATCGGCGGCGACATCGGTCCCCGCTAGCCTTTCAATGACGTCGGGGCGAATAATGTCGCGACGGAAGTTCTCCTCCTGCAGTAGTCGTAGCGCCCGCAAGGTGGCACCGGGATGGGTCAGGAACTGGGCGTATTCGGGGGTCTTCCAGTAGGAATAAAGGTAGGCCAGGTATGCTGCAAATGCCTGCGCGTCGGGGTCTGCGGAATCATTGCTCACGTCGCTGTCATCACCGGACTTGTTTATGCCCAGCAGATTCGGATATGTCACGGCGAGGTGGGACAGATAGTAGGGATTGGCGAGAGAAGACACAAACTCTAGCTCGAGGGTGAAGCGAGGGTTTGTGAGGGTCGGAGGCGGAGGCTGTTGGGGTTGATCGGTTGGGGGTGGCTGCTCCATGATACGACGACGATGCTCTCGAACAAACCGGAGGACCGAGAAGGTCGGTGACTGAGACTTGAAAGTAGAGAAAGATGTTGGTGGTGTGTAGGTTGCAACGAGTCGGAGCTATTCAGATAGACCGCACGACCAGTTGGAGGTTGCCAAGACAGGCTCACCTCCGGCGCGGCAAGCTCCAATTCACTTTGATCTTGGTTGATAGTCGATGGCTTCTATAGCCACTAGTGCCTCCCCACTTACATAGTAGATGACTAGATGTATTGGCCAGCAGTCACGTTCGATGAATTGTAATCGATTCAGATGTTCTACTGGCATCTTACTATCATGTGATACCCAGTTGTTGGGTGTCAGTTTGGCCATTCATCCTGGTGCATAGTGTAGCTTGACTCTAGAATTACTATCCGAGCCATGGTTGGAGCCATGGATTACTACTTCGATGTCATTGGTACCTATTTAGTAATTACAGACCACATTTAGTTCTTGCACATGAATCAATAGAAGGAAGCCATTTTTGTGTCTACAGTACATAGTGGATTTGACGGCGGGCAATAGTCACGATTCGCCTTTTTACTTTTCTCTAGAAGCCGCCCCCAGCTGCGGTCTCAAGCTGCTAGAAAACACTAGACTGACCTAGAAAATCCCATTACCTATGCAGAATGCCAATGGTTTACATTAGCAACTTTTTGGGTGAATATCTTAGAATCAGAAGCAGGTCTTGAGTAATTAGTTAATCAGTCAATTGGTCGCTGTACGGAGCATTAGTCAATTGAAACCGGAATTTAGATGACGCCGACCCAGCCATTCAATGTCAAACGACCGTTACGATAAACTAGCGCCATCGGGCGATTTATATGAGACTGGCGCCGGAATCAGATCACCAGATAATCCTTTCACCTGGGTGATGGAGGGTCCTCTCGATCTACCTCAATGGCTCCGAACAGTATCCATCAGAGTTCAAACGAGCCACATTGCGGTATGAAACACATCGGAGATAAGCTCTGAGGGGACGGTGGTCCTTCTTCGCCCGCCTTTGACTGTTCGGAAATCCGATGACATCTTAAGCATTCTTTGGCTTGGCCAGAGCGAGGCCTTCGCCCGGTTATCGATGCATGCTGCCGTACTTTGTAACACTGAACCGCTTGATGACGTTGTCTGTCGATCCAAACGATAAGCCTAGATTGGACAGGCCGCTAACTATGAGATCCAGTAGGCAGTCAAACCACAAACCAAGTCTGAATGCAGAGGGAGTTGAAAGACATTACAAACCGGCCCAACACACTCTGGTCGAGACCACATCATTGATTGGAATCAAGATTTGTGCCATTAGATGCTCTGGAAATACTTCGTCTGCCTTTTGAACCTATGGGTCACAGCTGTGCCACACACACACACGCATCCAGTCATAATGTCATGGTGTACTGGATACTGCTATAGTTTCAACTAGTCAATAGTAGTAGTGGTGGTTCCAGCAGCAGCCGTCAATCCAAGCCAGACGGCGCGGGACGATCGGGCCAGGGCTGAGAAAAGCAATATGGAATTATGCTGCAGGTCGGACATCTGGTCGAAGACTGGGATGATCGGACAGCTGTGCCGGCGGAGTCCGGATATATTCCAGTCCTTTTCTATGGTGGATTTAATTGATGCGAAAAAAAAAAATGAATGGAATGGTAGTACTACGTATGCTGGCAGTGCTGCTGGTGGGCGGGCCAACAGGCTGCACAGTAACAGAGAGGCGCGCCACGAGTAAGAGTGCGACTCCATCGGTCCCGTGGCGACATCCACCTGTCGTATTCCGTCGGTTTCGATCGAGGCAAAACTCACCGGCTGGATGGCTGCAGCATCATCATCATCTTGCTCCGCCTCAGACAGGCAAGACACAAGACAGCATTCCGGACGCGATCGGACCGGAAAACGAGGGAAGGGGAAAAAGTGGGCGATTCCGGGATTTATAACCTATATACGCAAGCCACCCTCACTTAGGTGGATTGAGCGGAAGTAAGGAACCAAATGGGTGGCCAAGGCAGGTCACGCAGCACAACCAAGAGATGGATGGAATTAGTAAGATGCCGGTGGGATGGATTGTTGGTTCATTAGTTAGTTAGTTAGTTAGTTAGACAGTCGGTAATTATTTACCCAGCAGCTAGTTGAATTAAGTAGGTAGTTAACTGGGTAACCCGGCAGATGGATGAGGATGAGCATGACCAAGACTAAGACCAGGGGGGGATCATCCTCATCGTGGGAGGCCCGCCGGTGTCGATCGGAAGGATAACAATGGATGGATGATGCAGCAGGTGGGCTTGCATTCTTGAGGGAGGAGCTGACGCAAGAGCACGAGTTTGTTGAGACTTTCCAGTACCATTTTAGGAAACAAAATCAAATCAGGGCTCAAACGTCTAAGCCATGCGAGAGAATGATGACAGCAACAATAATGAGAGAGTCCAGATGAACGTGGTGGAAGGAAGGTGTGTGTTTGTTAGGTCTGTCGTGTCCTGCAGAAGCCAATGTTTGTTTCTATTCTTGGGGGGGTCTGGCACGAGAGGGAACCTGTGGAGATGAGAACGTTTGGTTCCCTCCTATCTAGTCTAGTGCCGTCCCTCTCTCTCTCTCAAGACGTACAGGCAGCAGTAGTGAAGCTCCTCACTAGTTTGTTCGGTCGGTTGGCCGATTGCTGACCGGAAAACATTTGAATGGAGCTGCAAAGTGTTTTTCCTGCATCCGCATCCCTACTAGTCGCATGAACCCCAGCTTTTCTTTTGTGTCTAGTTTGTGCCTAGGTACATTGCCATTCTGCATATGATCGGAGGATAGTTCTGCGTGTATACGGAGCAGAAGTAGGAAATAAAAAAAAAAATAAAAATAAACTGTGAGGATCTGGGAGATGAGATGAGATGAGATGATTAATCTGGAATAGTCAATCCACAATTCAGGCACAGGAACGGACCAACCCCTGAGAAAAAAAAGTTGGGGTCGCCTGTCAAATTGACTCAATTAGTTTGCGTGGGCAGAAGGAGGGAAGAAAAAAGGTGGTGGCTGATGATTGATGATTGATGATTGATTGACTGATTGACTGATTCCTGGGCAACCAGAGATGATGAGATGCAACACTTTGCCCTTTCTTTCTCTTCTGTATTTTAGTTTTTATTTTATTGTTTTGTTGTATCTCCCCCTCCATCAATCGAAGGAGTCCATTCCTTTTAACTATAATATCTGTATACTATTACTACTAGTAGTATCTTCTTTTTTCTTCCATTCTAGTGATCGCATAGTCAAATAAGAAAGAAATCAATAAAAATATAAAAATAAAAATAAAAACCTCTACTCCATTTTCAGTAGTATCTCCTTTGGTTGGATCATGCAGTCATTCCCTCTCTCGCTCTCTCTTCCTTCTTCCTTTTCTCCTTTTGCCGCGTCGACGATCGCCTCTTCGGGCCCTTCAGTTTGCCTCTTTCCAGCAACTCGAGTGGTTCCGTCCACCATTTTCCCCAAGGGGTTCTGGATCCTCATTGGCACCCGTCATTCCCTCGCTCCTCCTCCTCCTTCTCCTCTCGTTTTTATCCTTTTTTTCCCGTGCGTTGCTCTAAACTTAACTGGACTGATGACTTGATGCTAAAGTTACTTACTACGTACTACTACTAACTACTAAGTTACTCCTCCCGTACGGTAACTAAACCCACCCTCGGCTTTCTCTGTCTCCCTCTTTCCCTCCGCTCCATCTTCTCCCCCGTCTCTCTCTCTCCCTCTCTCCCTCCCTCACACTAATTTACTCTCTCGCTCTTCTTCTCTCCTTGTTAATTCACTCCCCTCTTTTCCTCTCTTTACAAATCATCTTCCCCCTCTAACCCCCCACACCCATCCCCTCCCTCGTTCAAACAAACATTTTAATCTCACCCGGAGAAAATTTCAAGCCTCTCCTTCTTCTTTTTCTTCTTCTTCCACCCCTCAAGTGGAATCAAGCAATCTTAAATTGAAAGACCGGTCCAACTTGCCGCTACGTACCAACTAAACTAAACGGTCCCCTCCCTCTCCCTCCAATTATTTCTCCTTGCCCCTGACCGACACCCGCGGCATCGTCGTTTCAGCATACGCCTAAGCTCTCTCTAGTCTGGCGTCTGCATTCACAGTCTCGGCCTCCTGATCATCCACTTACTCCTGTCTTTTTATGCTGTCTTTCTCTGTTCCCCAATCATCTCCTCTGACCTACTCCCATCTCGACATCGCATTGCGTGGACTCGCAACATGTATGCCTCTCAACAGCCTGCCACCTACGCCTACCCACCTGGCGTGACGCTGGGCCCCTCAGGTGCGTCATCTTGCTGATTCCTGTTTTGTCCCCTGGTCCTGTCCTCCTTCCAGGCTTTTTAGTTATCTCCCAGCCGTTTCACCTCTGGCGGGGCTACCCCTTGGTCAGAGTGTTATCTGTCCTGTGCCGCCTTCTTTTCTATTTCAGACCGTGCTTCCCCATGCGAAAAAAGAGACAGGAAAAACTAACCTTGATCTATCGTCCGCTCGACTACAGGCTCTCCTGTCCAACAAGCTTTCGGCCCAGCCCCTGTCAATCTGGGCTCCAACAATCCCTTCCGGAATCGTGCTCTGTCGCCTTCCGCCAGCTCTTTCGCATCCGCCAGTGGTCAATCTGAACGCCGAGTCTCTACGAATCCCTTTGACGACGACACCCTGTCGCCGCAGTCCGCCCCCGTGATAGGGTCAACCATGGTCTCCCCGGTCGAGAGACAGGACATGACGTCGAACACACGTGAACTCTTTGTATGCTCACTTCGCAGCCCTGACCACCCGTCGCTCAGCCGAACTGACCTAGAACTACGTGATATAGGAGAACCTTTCCGTAAACCCTGCTCCCCAGAACACTGGTTACAGACAAGCTCCGCCGCGCCCGGACAAGCCCGCGCCCAACGGATACCCGACGAACCGCGGACCTCCGCCCAGGGAACGCCCCGAACGTCGCGACAAAGATACCTTGGACATCTTTGCCGACCCCCCGAAGACGAGCAGTGGCGGACGATCGGGCTACAGAGAGCGGAGGCCTCGTCGCAACTCAGAGTCTTCGATCATGGAACGAACCCCCAAGCTTGTGGATACCGAGGACGAGAGACGCCGTCGTGAGCGACGACGCCGGGAGCGGGAGGCTCGCCATAGAGATGGAAAGGACGGCAAGGAGTCGAAGGATGGGAAGCCTCGTTCATCCAAAAAGTCCAACTACCACATGGACATTATCGATAAACTGGACGTCACCAGTATCTATGGCACTGGAAGTGAGTTGGAGCCCAATGGCGACCTGGCAGAGGCGCTTGCTAACAGTGGTTGTGTAGTGTTCCATCACGATGGGCCGTTCGATGCCTGCAATCCTAACCGTAATCGCAAGGGCTTGCGTACGGCGCCCATGCAGGCGTTCCCCAAGGACTCTGCCAATATGGCCCTTGGAGGCGCAGGGCCAAACAATTCCAACATTGATCTGAACCTGTTCCACGGAACCATGGATGAAGGCTACAATGACTATTCTACCAGCGCCGCCGTTGACCCCCGTAACAACAAGAGCGACACTGCGAACTTTGATCCCACCACTCGCATCGAACCTGTTCATGGAGCGGAGAGCATGGGTCTGGGAACTAGCACATTTCTGGATGGTGCCCCCGCTAGCCGGGCAGACATTCAGCGCCGTGGAAGCGGGAACGAGAACGGTGGAGCTGGTCCCAGCGGAGGAGGCTTGCAGCGCAAGAAGAGTTTGGCCCAAAGACTCCGGGGCATGAACAAGCCCTCGAATCCCCGAGTGGTCTCTCCCGAGTCCTCCTACACCCCAGGTGTGCCGACTGGCTCTAGTCACATAGGAACCATCCGCGCCAACGAGAAGAACCCCTTCTTCCAGGATTATGACGATGCTTGGGACAAGAAGGGGGCCCAAATTAATATGTCCGAGGAATCACGTGGCACCACAGGTACACGAGCCCGCTCTTCCAGCAGCCCCAAGCAGAATACCGGTTTGGAGCGGAGGTTCACCAACGAACGTTCCAACACCGGCTTCGATGAGGGCAAGCCCAGTGGTGGTGGCGGCGGATTCATCAACCGCATGAAGAGTTTGAGAAAGCCCCGGCCTGAGCGGCGCATCAGCAACGACTGAGTAATTTGAGTAATCTGAATCAACGGTCGTACTTAAAAACTCCGTTGCTTGTGTTTGGCGCAGATGACGAGGGAAGTGTGAAGAGATGGAGACCGCTCTGGAAGCATCCCTCTTGCACTCCCTTTAGCGTCTATCTCCTATAGAAGATAGGCAAAATGAGGCATATGATGAGATAAAGCATCGTGAATCGCAGGCTGGCGTAAACGACATATGATAATTCTATCGTCTGCAGCGTTACCTTGGGATTTCCGACGCATTGCTCAAGGCTCATGAAGAGCGACTGTTTAAGCGCGCTCTAAAGCGGCGTACTCGACTCCAATGCAATTGGGTTGGCGAGGCGGTGACAGGGGTGGTTGGTGTTTCTTTTACTGGCAAACCACACGGTGTACGGGACGCGAAGGGACAAGGCGTTGAGTGAGCATTTACTCTTGTATGCATGGGAATTCGGACCTGTGTTGGGACCGGCTGGGCTTTGCTGTTTCGTGCTTCTCTTGTTTGCTACTAGGGCTGTTTGAAGGCAATGTGTCTTTCAGCTGAATACATATCTTACCATGCTTGTACTGGCCGGCCCTCTGGGGTCTATAGTATATCACTGTAGCCATGAAGTTCATCCACACATCGCCCAGGTCGATCGTGGCACCCATGTAGAGCCATACAAAAGACCGCTTTCTCCACCACCAGGGTCTCTGGTATAGTAGCTGAGATAAAACAGCGGTTATAATGAACATCATGAATGACTAATATCCATCAATAAGTCATTCCGATTTCTTTAGTCTAGTCGTACTGAAGATTGTATTATAATCTATTATACCTTTTTAAAGTGTCTGTAAAAGTATATATACTTCTACTAACGATGAAACAGATCCCATCGAACCAATCAAAAATACTATACTTATACTTATATACTACTACTAGCGTCTACTATCTAATACACCGGTTCTTGAATATTGATATATTGGTAACAGCTCTTACTGGTATCACAACTACTAAATGGCTGACATGTTGTTCTGGGAAAAGGTAACTAACTATCTCCTGTACACTTACTAGTACTACTAGAACTAGTACTACAACTACATGAGTGGCCAAGTCCACTGGAACAAAGCACCGTGTTCAATTGATGATCTCACATCACAACATTAGCAGTAGCAGTCCTAAAATTGGCCATTCAGCAGTGTGGAGCATAATACGAGGAAAAAAAAAAAAAAAAAAAAAGGGAATATTACTCAATCAATACTTCATTCGGTTAGTTAGTAGGTATATCCGAGCTAGCTAGTACTGTAGCAGCAAGTTAAATGAACAATCCAAAATCCAACAACAACAACATGAACAACAACAACCAAAGGGAATTATTGAGACTCATTCATTCCTACACATACACACACACAGAGAGAGACACACACATGATCACATAGATTAACATCATGATGGAAAATAATGTAAAGATATAAAACCCCGCCCTCCAATGAACCCTTCAACTCCCATAAAACGTGATATGTGATAATACGTATGATCACATCACAATCAACCCATATTCATAATGCTGCCAGTTAAAGCGAAATCCCACGCAAAACCCCTATTGACCGAAACCAGGAACCAAGTACGAAGAATAAACAAGACGCTGGTAAGATTTTGGTTCTTTACCGCGCCCTAGTAGAAGACTGCATGCGCGGCTTGAATGGATCAGGGGCGGGGATGCCTGCTCTCCGCTTGGATTGAGGCTTGGGGCGGGAGAGTGTGTATCTATTAGATGGATTGTCAGTATGCATTTTTTTTTCTTTTCCGTTGATTAGTAATGGGTACATACTTGGCAAACGCCCTGGACAGAGCTTTCTTGCAGCTGATTTTCTGGCTACCGATGAAGGAATCAACGGTGACGGCGATGGCACGGTCGATGTCCTGTGCGGAACAGTATTCCGAGAGACGCATCTTGCAGAAGGATTCGGCAATACGCATGATGGCTTCGAGGTGACGGACCTGGATGAACAGTTGGTATTAGTCTTTTCTTGTCTCCTAGGACGTAATTGAAAGTGATAGGAAGGGAGGCATACGGTAATGGGGTAAGCGCCGGTGGCCAGAGATTCGCGTCTCATGTCGGCGAATAGACGGGCGATCTTGTCTTGGTCGATCTGGTAGAGCTTGGGGTGGCAGCGTTCACGGGCGTAGAGGATGTATTTGCGGAGGAGTTCTTGAGGGATTTCGCCGTCCTTCTCGTCTTCGCGTCGTTGCTTCTCAGCATCCCGGGTAGCGAGTTCCTCGTCGGTCAGAGGCAGGCGTTGCTTGGTCTTCTTGTCAATGCGGTAGCCGTCTTCGTCGATGGGGTGTCCATCTGCGTTGATCAGGTTGCCGTCTTGGTCGCGGAGAGGACGGGCGGGGTTGGCGCGGTGGTGGGACTCGATGACGAAGTTGGCGAGACGTTCATCCTCGCTTGGGTCGACAAGATCGCGGACGACGCAGAGAATGTCGAAACGCGAAAGAATGGGTTCGGTGAGTTGGACGTTCTCGGAGAAGGGTGCGCTGCTGTTGTAGCGGCCGCCGACGGGGTTGGCAGCAGCAACGACAGCACAGCGAGCCTGCAGGGTGGTCACGATACCGGCCTTAGAGATGGAGATGGTCTGTTGTTCCATGGCTTCGTGAATGGAGGTACGGTCCTGGTCGTTCATCTTGTCGAACTCATCGATCAAGCAGGTACCGCGGTCTGCAAGAACGAGGGCTCCTCCTTCGAGAGTCCATTCGCTGGTGAGGGGATCGCGACGGACGCTGGCTGTCAAACCGACGGCACTGGCACCTTGACCGGTAGCGAAGACAGCTCTGTGGGCAGTCTTCTCGGTGTACTTGAGGAATTGGGACTTTGCGGTACCGGGGTCACCCAGCAGGAGGACGTTAATATCTCCACGAATGGACATCTTGCCTTGGGCTTCCTTGCTGACACCACCGAAGAGGGAGAGGGCGATTGCGGTCTTGACGTCCAGGTGACCGTAGATACTAGGGGCAACGGAGCGAACGATCTTGTCGACAATCTCAGGGTCCCTGGATAGGGCACGGATCTCCCGCTCATCTTCTTCGGTCAAGTGGAAACCAGCCAGCTGGTCGTGAGACTTGACAACGTGGTTGGCCTCAATGATCGTGGCGAACACAGGGAAGCCGTTCTTGTTGTTGAGCTGCGCATCGTAGCTGTTCCGGTAGATACCCGTCACCTCGATTTCATCACCTGGCTTAGCCGAATCGATGAGATCTGCGAGAAGGACGACCTCGCGCTGGCGGGGGAGACGACCAGCGGGGACGGAGCCCGGAGATTCTTGGAGGGTCATTTTCTGGTAGTTGCGGTAAACGGTCTTCTCGGAGTGCACAGAGAAGGGTCCCTTGGACTGGCAGTTCTGGCAGTACGAGATCTTGACTTCCGCACTGGCTTCCTGTTGGAAGGGACCAAGAGTGATGTTACACTTTCCACAAACGAACATGACATATTTCAGTTGCGGGAAGACACCGGTACGGCGAGTAACGACACCGCTGACGCGGATAAGGCAGTTGAGATGGGACTGGCGCAGTTGACGGAGGGTATAGGAGACAGGGAGATCGGTAATGCGGACATGAATTTCGTTGTGGATATCGTGATATTGGGGGTAGTGGAAGAGAGTGACATCAAGCGCGACTTGGTCGAAGACCTTCAGCACCTCAGTGGGCTCGTTGGCAAGGAAGTATGCAAGAGCCGCTTTGGTTTCCAGTAGATGGGCGTAAGAAACTTCCAGGGATGCCGAGTTCACCTCACCAAGGGTCTTGATCTTGTTTCCGTAGACCGAAGCACCGGCAGGGTCGGTGTATTCTGTCAAGAAGGACTTGAATTCTCTGTAGATGGAGCGAAGGACTTGGGGCTGCAGAACCCAGTCCGTAAGGTTAGAAGCCTTGACATCGGTCAACTCCTCCAGGGAGAGCTCCTCCATCGCATCATCACCCATCTCGACGTCGTCCCGATCTTCGTCGTAGTGGTGTCTCCGGCGACGGGGTTGACGAGTAAGATCTATGTCACCATCTTCGTCGTCCTGCAGGAAAGCCGCAGGCATGCGACGGCGACGTTCGAGTTCTCGATCTCTCTTGTTCATGCGGGCTTCGAGTTGACGACGAGTAGCGACATCAAGTTCTTCATGGTCACCGTCATCGTCGATGTATTCTCCTCTGTACTGGTCGTCTGCTGTGCTTCGATAGTCTTTCTCGAAGTTGTCTCCAAACAGATCGATTCCGTCCTCGTCTTCAGCCATCTCGTCGATATCATCAATGTCACCCAGGAGCTCTGCTTCCTCATCGCGCTCGTTGTCATCGTCGTCGAAAGGAAGCATGGGAGGGGAAGAAGGGGGGGCTATTGCCAGCGTCAGTACCAGGAACCAGCCATACACCACAGCATGACTTACGACTCGAGGGGGGAACAACCGATGAGGTCTCATCATCGGGCTCTCTGGATCTCTTACGACGACCCAGGTTCCCTAGGCCGCGGTTTGCAGCAGAATTGCTGGGACGGAGTGGTGAACTGGGAAGACATTATTAGTATTCCGAATGTTGTGAGGGGCAACCAAACAAGGTGGTTCCAAGCAACATTGACAATCAATGGGCGAGGACATTACATACCTCATTGTGTGTGGTGTTCAGTCTGACAGGCGGGGAGGTGGAAGGGGCAGACTGAGGGAAGGTGAAGAGACAGCCGTGCGGAGGGTCTTTTTTTCTTTTCCGTTGGGCAACGCAGGAGTTCGAAGGGCCACAAGCTGAGAAGATCCTGGACTTGGCGCCGGACGCGTCTCCGAGACGCGCCAGCGACGCGTCCGTTTTCAATTAAACCCAGATTCGGAAATGCGACCCGCTCTGAGCCCAACGAAAAGTGGAATAAAAGATGCTTCGTGGATACGCTCGACTTCTGGGCAGTGGGAAAATGGAGCTCTTGGTACGTCATGCAGAATAGTTCATATTGGAATTACTCCTCATGGTCTAGTTGAATTGTCACCGAGGTATGTACA